TGGTCTTTCCAAGGGGGGAGGTATGTGCTATCATGGTGTTACTGTGAGTTTCCTAATGTCTATCAGATAGTGCTATAGCAGCTTCAGCTTCAGCTTTATATTCAAGGTATATCAGTATATCAATTGCAGTTACATATCATCAAATGCATATCGCTCAAATGCCTAAAACATCAATAGTATATCATATCATATCACAATCACAACTCGAACATATCCCAGGATATAACCAAAAGATTAATCATGCCATATGCAGTCAAACCAATGTCTAGCAACTCACTGCATAAACAGACATACAAGCAGCAACAACCAGATCCAACATCTTAATCCCTTCATCTTCAATAATCAGCTTACCCAATTTCGCAGACTTCCCCCGTAACCCTCCGCCTGCGCGCTCCCGTGCAAGAGAAAGATCCAGACGGTCCTCACTCGGCGGCCGGCGCAAAAGTCCTGATTTCTCGCGCTCCTCGAGGTCTCCGGCGCCGCTGCTCGTGCTGCTATTCGAGGGGTTCCGTGTGTGGTGGCTGGGGCCGATATTGTCGCCGATGGAGGTTATACTGGCCCCGGACCGAGCGCGAGGTCGCGTATATTTGTTCGGGTTGAGGAGGCGGGCGAAAGAGTCGCGTTTCGAGGAAGGGTTTGCGGAGGTAGGAGTTTGCGGAGAGGAGAGGTAGGAGTCCGTTGGGGGCGAGGTAGGATTATAGGATGCGTACGAGGGAGCGGGCTGGTGAAGGTGGCCGGTTCGAAAGGGCGTGTTGAAGCGGATCTCGGCGACAGTGATGGCAGGGGGTTCAGGCGTGGAGGTCGGGTGGTGATGGTGGCTGCTGGCGTTGGGGAAGCCAGGGGTGGGTATCATGTGTTTGCATTTAAGGCTGCGGCCGTTGACGCTCGTTGTAAACGTGCAGATGCCATTCCATGGTGAGTTGAAGGTGTAATAACCGCTCTTCAGCTTGGAGTGAGGAGGGGCGTGCGGTTTCGTGGGACTGCCACTGGCAGTGCTGTCCAGGGACGGACGACCCGGGAGGTCCAAGGAGCCTCGCGGCTCCTCTTGGAAGTATGGTCTTGAGACGCAGAGCTTGCGATGGAATCGTCGGGGCTGAGATGGCTCATTGGGGACGGAAGTAGGTGGAAGATCGGCCAAATCAGCCAACGGGTGTTTGGACGACGAGAACGAGATGGACTGGCCGCCTGGGAGGTTTATCCCCAGACTCGCAAGGGAGAGCGGTTCGTTCTGCGCCGTGAACCGGTTGTACCCCGGGGTAAGGATATCGATGTCGATAGGCCCACCATCCATCCGAGGCGTTGACATGGTCGCAACATTCCACTGACTGCCATGCGTAGGATCGCGACGAATCAAGGTGATATGGAACCCCGGACGATCAGGCACCACTCTGTCATGCGGCCTCTGGCGAGGGGACTGGCCCGGACTTCTGGCAGGACTCCTCGCTGGGCTTCTAGACGGCGACCCCAGAAACGAATGTGATGGACTTCCATGAGCGGAATGCGGTCTAATCGGGGGTCGTCTTGAATCCAGACTCGCCCGGCCACCAGACATGGCATCATATTTCTCCTTCCACGTTTCCTGGCCCTTGGCCAGGTACCCCGACAGCGCAGTGCTCCACCGGTTGGCCCTCTTCGCCGGCAGCGGGTCTAGAGGCGGTCCTAGCACGGGCTCTTCTCTCGGAACAGCAGGCAGTGGCCGCGAAGGACGCGCAGCCATGGGATCGTCAAGCGGCGCGGACTCGAGAACGGGGTCGCGATTGACCGGCGCGAAAGGCGGGGTGACAAGGTTGTAATCGTTCGCATAAGCAGGGCCCTGGAAACTCGGACGGGGAGGCAGGGCCGGGCGCTGCAGATCTGGATTCAACAGCGACGGCGCTCCCTGCGACTGCCAGGAAGTCGGGCGAGGGCGCGCAGGAGGAGGAGGGGTCGCATCGACCTTGAGTGCGCCCGCGCCAGGAACAGGCTTGCGCCGGACATTGTTCAATCGCGCAAACTCGCGCGAAGGCAGAGGAGCCTCCGCCTCGTCTCCAAGGGCTTCTTTCCGCAATCTAGCCTCCTCTTCGCGCTCCTGCTCGTATTCCTGTAGCAGGACGTCATCCTCAGGCGTGGCAACGTGCAAATAATATAAGGAGGAATTGATGGCTTCGGCAGAGACGCTGGACTTGGTAGCAGGTTTCAAGGGGGTGAGGAAGACATCTAGAGGACGGAAGAAAACAAGGGTCAGTTGATCTATCATATGCATGTTTGGTGCCACCGCTTCTGCGGGGCATTCCTGAGCGATCGGAATGGCAGGTAAGCGACATACCTCGACTGCCTGGGACCCGCACAATATACAGCACTAACGGATCCAACTTCTTCTGGGTAGGATTGCGCGGATAGGCGGGAGGATTGGAGGCAATTGCGGTGATGGAAGACAGCGAGCGAGCCTCGACGGGGGCTTTGGGGATACTCGGCGGCGAGGCGGCCATCAGGGCGGAATCCCCATCCCCCGCGGCGTCAACCTTGGTCATGGAGAGAGAGGCGGGGGAGATGTCACGGAGAGGTGAATTTGACTGGATATAAAATGAACATGAGGAAAAGAGGAGTGAGAGGTAACCACTTGTGATAATAGAAAGGGGAAAGACAAGAAAGGAAGGGGAAGAAGGAGAGCGGAAGACAAGAAGATCAACGCGGAGAAACCGGAGAGACCGCCAAGACGATCAGCATCGGGCAGCAAGCTCAAGCAGAACAATAGTCTGAGTACTTCTTAAGAAACAGGTACACCGGGGCGACGGGGAACATCCCCAGTCGCAGGGCGGACGATCTTCAGCGGCAATGCTTCCATTCAAGGGTCCCGAAAATAAGGCTGCCTGCTGAAGGCAAATCGGAACGAGGCAACTCCCAATTGGCCCAAATGTCTCACTGTCTACTACTAGAAAAGTCGTACAAATTAACAAGGAGGTGAAGAGATTAAAGTCGAATTGTTTCCACTTGGATTCACTTGCCAAAGGTATCTCGCAAACAAGATAACAAGGTATTCTAGACTACAGGCCCGGTAACTTGTGCAATAGCTGGAACCGACCATGGTGTGTAAATGGTATGAGAAAAAGAAAAAGAAAGGAAATAACGAAAAGATGAACCCGGTCAACGATAGGCTACCAATGCTCTGCAGGCTCCCATCCATCCTACAACTGGATCGTAGGGCCGATTATAAGAATAACGAAAACGTGCAAAAGGAAGGAAAATGAACTCCGAATGCTCCCAAGTGAACTGTACCCAGACCAGACCAAGATTCCCATATTCCCTAGACAACTGTCTCCGATCGCTCGCCCTCTGCAATGACAGGAACGCTAAGCCCACGCTCAGGACTCTGTAACACCAGCTGCTCGTGACGGCGTGCCCGCAGGAAATCGCTGATAGCTCGAATCAGAATGAACCACCCGACAATCATCAAGACGTATGAAATCCATTCGCTCGTGGTGATAGAGGACACGGCACCGCCTCCGCCATCACCACCCGCACCACCATCGACATTATTCGGATCGAAGTTATGACTGTTCGGGTCCGGTGGTGTCACGTAATCGGCGCCTCCTTCATCCGATCCCTTCGACTCACTGCCACCCTTCATGTAGAAACCATACTGCACCAGCGTGAGGCCGAGACCAGCCCGGCTACCGTTTTTGGCTGCGTGCGTTGTGTGAAGCAAGTAGGTCAAGAGGAATCCAACCAACTGGAACGACATGGAGATCATGGCATTCCAGACAAACGAAAAAATCGATCCAACCGGCAGTCCATCCACAAACACTTCGTCCGAAGAGATACCCGGTGCGAGAATTGTCGTCTCCCAATACGGCGGTGTAGCATCTGCGGCGGCCTCCTCGTAGGACTAAAACACAGCACATCATCAGCAACCATTTTCCCATCGCAAATCCCACATAAAGTCAACCTACCGGAGGCAAATCCTCATTCTTTTCCCCGCGCTCCGGCTTAGCCGCCAGATTAGCAAAGACACCATCGTTCGACGAACTGATCACCCGACTCGCTCCCGAACTGGGGGTACTGAAAGATGGCAGGATCGTTTGCCGTCGAGGAAGGCTTCCACCAATGCGCGAATCGCCAGACTGTTGCTCTGAACCGCTTGAAGAAGAAGACGCAGCCGCACCGGCGCTGCTGGTGTCCGCCACCGGGCGGGAATCCGGCTGAGCCCGCATTAAGCGCTGACGATCGTCGGGCTCTTCATCGGACTCGGAATCGCTACCATCACCGAACGCATCTGCTAGGGTTTGTTCTGCATGGTCTCTTTGGGGATCGTCGTGGAGTAGGCGTCTCGATGATGGGGAGGAGGAACGAGAGTGGAATGAGGGAGGCGGGGAGGAAGGTGTCGGTCGGAGAGGGATAGAGGAGTGTGACTGGGGGGTATCATCATCGTCTTCATCACGGGCGTTGACCTATATACAGACCCATGTATCAGTACTTTGTTTTTTTGACATCTGAATGCCGAACCCAACGGCTTCTATCAAAGAATGTGGGTGCCTCATACCCGTTGATAACGCTGCGAGCTCATGACGAGCTGAGCGAGCGGGAAACCGGGAAAGAGCGGAGTAAAGGACGGTGGGGACGAAACAAAAGAAATCAACGGCGTCGGAAGTAGGTATTAGAAGAGGGACAAAGAAGGAGGCGCAAAGAACGTGGATGAAACTTTGAGGGGGGAGATTCAAAGGAGATGGGAAGGAGACGATCAGCTGGAGATGACGAGAGGAGAGAGAGAAGTCCAGGTCAGGCAATAAGGCAGCAGCAGCAGCATCAATCAGCATGCGGTGGCTGAGCCGGATTGCCGCCTCCGGATTGCCGCGCCCGTGACCGCCTTGCCGCCTCAGGCAGTTCCGCTGTTTTTCGAGCATCTACAGACATCTAGATAGACCTCGAACAGTATCTCTCCAGCGCTTCTCTCATTCACCGAACTGTCGCCCTCATCACTCACACCACAATCACACGAACCACTCACACACAGATATCCCACCATGGCATCCAACACAGTACGTCTACCCTCACCACCCCAACCCAAACCCTCTTCGATCCCAGCTCTTTTGCATCCCAGCTAACTCAACACCAACCACAGCAACGAATCACCACCCTCCTCAAACACTGGCCAACCGACAAAGTGCGCCCGTCAACCGTCTCCGTCCAGAACTACCTCCAAGCCTGCCTCCAACCCTCATCCACCGAACCCTCCTCTCAAAAACAGCCCCAACAAGAAGGCCAATTACAAAAAGTCAACATCGACGAGAAATCCCTCAACGCTCTCTCCTCCCTCCTCGAAGACCGGTACGCGAGACGCTACCCCCTGTCGCCGAGATTGCGCAGACCGGCGAGTAACCCGGATCATTACGATAATGTGATTCGGGAGTTTGATGAGGCGCCGGACCGGGACTGGATGGGAAGGTTGAAGAAGAGGTTGGGTGGGCTGTTGAGGTTGAGGTAGTTTGTCTGCCTTTGGGGTTTAGAGGGCTATTGGGCGAGGGGGAGCGGAGTGATGGTGGTGGCCACCTTTCTTATGGTGTTGTGTTGTATTAGTACTATGGGATGGCATGGGTGAAGAAGGGATTATAAAAAGTGGCTCTGGTTCTGGTTCGGGTTCTGTACTTTACGACCTTGTATATATAGTGTAATTTTCGGGTGAAGAAATTGGTATCTGTTCAATGGCATTATTTTGGATACAGCGTGGTATATATGGTGTGTTTGGGGATTCAGGTCAGTCGTCAATTGACAACGCCGAGTTATACATATTTGCCGTGATGATCATGTCAATATGATTTACAGCATCGGCTTGACATCATCAGCCACCTTGAATGGTGCCTCCGTCTTGCTCCGCACCTCATCCACGGTGACTCCATCGGCCAGCTCAACCAGCGTCAGTCCATCCGTAAAGTCGACGTCGAACACGCAGAGCTCGGTGATGATCCGGCTGACGCACGTCTTTCCGGTCAAGGGGAATTCGCACTGCTTCACGATCTTCGGTCCACCCTTCTTATCCGTGTGCTCCATGGTCACCACAACCTTGGTGGCGGAGGGGTTCGATACGAGGTCCATAGCTCCACCGAAGCCCTTGATCTTGCCAGGCAGCATCCCTAACAAACATTGTCAACCAGACAATCCCAAAGAAACAATTATACAGGGACCACTTACAGTTTGCCAAATCACCTCGGGCACTGACTTGCATAGCACCCAAAATAGTCAGATCGATCCGTCCCGAACGGATCATACCGAAGGACTCCTCGCTCCCGAAGCAAGCAGCTCCAGGCAGCAGCGTGACCGTCTCCTTGCCAGCGTTGATGAGATCAGCATCCTCCTGTCCCTTCTGAGGGTACGGACCCAGACCCAGGATGCCGTTCTCAGACTGCAGCATGACCTCTACAGAGGGATCGACAAAGTTAGGCGCCAGCATGGGCATGCCAATACCCAAGTTCGCATACATCCCGTTCTTAAACTCCTTCGCCGCACGACGAACGATGCGCTCGCGCTTAGCAGCAGTATCACCCTTACCCAGGGCAGCCGCCTCCTCACCCTCTTCCTTTGCAAAAGTATACTTCTCAATGTTCTTGGGGGCTGTGCTCTGAATCACCCGCTTGACATAGATACCCGGCAGATGAATAGCAGCGGGCTCAATCTCGCCCGGTTCAACAATGTGCTCCGCCTCGACGATCGTCATCTTCGCATTGCGGCCCATGGCACCATTGAAGTTAGCCGCAGCATAGCGGAACTGGCAGTTACCCAGCTTATCAGCCTTCCAGGCCTTGACAAATGCATAGTCACCCTTAATCGCTTCCTCCATGACGTAGCTCTTCTTATCGAAAACCTTGACATCCCTAGGCTCACTGTAGAGCGCGACAGTCCCATCAGAATTGTGCTTCAGAGGCAATTCGCCTGTCTGTACAACGGTACCACAGGCCGCAGGGGTATAGAAAGCCGGGATGCCCGCACCACCGGCACGACAACGTTCCGCCAAGGTACCCTGAGGAGTCAACTCGAGCTCGATCTCTCCGGTCAGGTACATGCGCTCGAACGTCTTATTCTCGCCCACGTAGCTAGCAATCATCTTCTTGATTTGCTTAGACTGGAGAAGAAGGCCGAGACCCGCTCCGTCGACACCAGCGTTGTTACTGACGACTGTCAGACCCGTAATGGAGGGATTCGCGCGCACCGCGCTGATCAGGGTGTCTGGTACACCGGAGAGACCAAAGCCACCGGCCAAAAGTGTCGAGTTGGACTTCATATCCTTGATTGCGATGTCTGCAGAGGAGACCACCTTGTTGATCTCAGGTCGACGAATGCTGCTAGAGAAAGCACGTGCGAGGAATCGTTGGTGCTGTTATAAATGCATATGTCAGAACTACCAATTCCAATTTAACTACGATTGGTGACACAGAAATCCCTACCTTGCTGGGATCAGCAGAGAACTGCCGCGCCAGACGCAGACATGTCGCCACTTGTGACGGCATGATGGACCACGAGTAGAGGTATATATGTATGTAGCTTCGATAGTTACAGTTGGCAATCAAATTGCGCAAAAGCCGTTAGGGTCCAGAGTTGACAATCACCCCCGAGACACAATAAGGAAGACTGAAGGTATCAGAGGAACGTGAAGGAAGCGGAGAAGAGGAGGTTATATGGAGAACTGGATAAGAACGGCCACATGCGGAGTTGCGGAACGCCAGCCGCCATGCCGCCTTCCCCGGAATTCTCCCCGCACTTGTGCTTCCAATGCATAACCTATATACTGAGGAGATCCGATCCCTTGGGTTAGTCTATTTTGTGTACCTCAATGATGGAAATGTAGATGTTTATTTTCCACTGATCCAGTAACTCTCAACCAGTCACTTCTCTAAGGTCTTCTGGTGCAATGGCCTCAAGTCCCATGCACAGACATGCGACGGTCATTCAGCCTGCAGGGCAGCTTCTCCCCCACTTGTGCTGCCGACTGTCGTTCCGATCCCGATCCGCGGCCCGCTTCGGACCCGCCGCCGAAGTCATGACTAAACTGACTGTCACTGCAGCATAGATAGATAGATTAGGTTGATTCTAGCTGTGAGGGACATAAGACAGAAAATGACATGGTACATTATCATCAAATATCATGATGGAGGACATCACCTGCTATGTACAGGAAATCATGACAACATCTCCGCTAGCGCATGCACAAAGGATATCGTCAGAAAAGTTACACGCCCGCACAAACCAAACGGAACATCAATATCACTACAAGAATAGCCCGTATTCTCGCAGTCTTCCCCGCCTCATATCATCCAGCTCTAAAGTCTTTGCTCGGTCATGATGTCCAGTCCTGCAATTTACCTCTATAGCTGAACTGTAGGCGTCCCCTAGAAGTCTAGGCCTAGTATGGATTTAGCCTCCATCGTCGCCCAGGCCCTTGCGTTTGAGTGGATTTAACGTCGAGTCTCGGACCGGCGGCTTGACCTCTGAGCCTACCACTTTACATGGTCTAAGTCAGTGCTTGTCTTCGGTGGCCAACCCCAGGCAGTCTTGCCGGATCCTGCATTGGCATCGTCTTTAGCCTCCGTCATGGGGTGATCGACTACCGTACCTGATCCGCCCTGGTCTGTCCAGATCTCGTCGTACGCTGGTGGATTCATGTCCACATCTTCATTGGCATTCGCCGTGGATTCTTCCAAGATTTCCCTGCAGACCGGGTCGGCGAGCCGATCCTTCATCGTGTCGTTGACGTATACCAGGAAGTATGGCGTGGGCGGGTTGGACTGCCCCTCGTCCTTGAAGATCTCATCCAGGTCGTTTACTTCGGTGACATAGTTGTCATTGTATTTCCTCCAGACGTTCCTTTCAAAGTCGAAGATGTAAATGTAGTAGTGGCCAAAGGAGACCGATCCGTGGTGGACGAAAACGGCATACAGGCGATAAGCCAGGTACTTGTAGTCGGCAAACTGAGCGGTGATCTTGTTCTGGGTCTCCTGGATTTGGTTTTCGACATCTGTTTCGAATTAGCGCCTGCATACCAGAGGCCAAAACTTGGGAAGCGAGGACGCACAGTTCAAGTCAGCCTTTGCTATCTGAGAAAGCTGATCAACCTCGGTGATTATTTGCGTGTCAAAATCGATCGCGTCCTCTGCATAATCAGGCTCTTCTCTCATAGCTGCCAAGTCTTCAAGTACTTCCTTAGCGCTGTTGAGCAAACCCGCCGTATCCATGCCGTCGGAGTCCTAGATTATGAATTAGATGTCTGGGCCCACAACAAGCGATGCGGGCGCAACCTACCACTTGACGCAGTAACTCCGCACGGCGCGCCTCAAGCTCTCTGAGCGAGTTCTTCCATTGCCAGCACTGCTGTCGCCGCTCCAGGAAATGCGGTTGCTGCGAGTCCATATATCGGTCAAGATAAATCGTCTCCTTCAATCCGAGATGGTGAGTGGACTTGAATGAGCGCTTCGTCGTGGGGTCAAACTGGACACGCTGAACCTGAATCTGAAGCACTGGCGGGAGCTTGCTGATAGCACCGTACTGCTCAGCCACCGAGTTCTCTACATTCACCTTCTGTACGTCAAAGGCACCGTCAATAGCTGCATAGATGTCACGAGGGCCAGTTGCAACATCGATTTTGATGTCACACCACCACTCTTCTTTGGACCGCACTCCTTTTTCTGAAGCAATATAAGATCGAGTTCTGCCGTAGAAGAGACTATAGACAAGGCAGTCAGTCATGGGATATTCGTGCCCAGAAGGCTCCTGACTTACTCTTTCACTTGATCAATTTGCTCGCCCTCCGGAGAATGAGCAATAGGCCGGATAGCACATTGGCTCTGGAAAAGCACGTTGTTGATAACTTCCGTCACATCCTGCTGCGCTCCGATCTCTACCTCTTCTATAAGCTGCTTCTGGGGGTCGACTTGCGGGGTGGGTCGCGGAGGCACAGGCGGTGGTCGATTGGAAGGTTCGACATTGTCTATGGGTGTCGTATCGCCGGGGGACCCTAGTTCGGCGGAATCGGAATTTGGCTCATCCTGCACGTCTTTCAAGTCCAGATCAGCCGGAGGTTCGTTCTCTTTATCGTCAATCGGAGGAGGTTTAATGTCATTCTTGACACCATCAGAGACAAGTGTGGCTTCGCTATCAACATCGCTAACTGTTGAGCGCTTGACACCCTCGCTTTCGGTAGCCGTCTGGTTCTCGGCTTCTTTCTCCACTTCCTTCTCCGGAATCGGTTGCGGCGGCCCAAGAGGTCCTAGTACGGGCATGCCGTTGATTTCGCCTAGGGCACCCGCGGGCCTGTACGCGGAGATTGTAGACCGACGACGTATCGCTGCTTCGTTAGAAGGACTGATCAATGTCAACCGCGCCAACTCCTGGCCCGGTGTGACATGAGAGGATGGGGAAGTAATCATGTCGGAAAAAAGTGTCCTTAATTCTCTGAGAACTACATAGAATCTGCGTCAGTTTAACGGTCATACAAGTGAAATACAGCGCACTTACACCTTTGTGAACGTTCCACCTCCTTCTTGGAGACCTTGCGTGATCCCACCTGCTTCTTACTCAGGCTCTCATCAGTCAAGTCCATCTTGAAACTCTCAAAATCCAAGACCATCTCCCTGTATGGGCGCACAGAGAAATAGAATTGCAGTAGACTATTGAGGTAGCATGTGTTGCCGATGTTCTGCAATCCAACGGGCCATTCCGACATATTACGGTCCGGCTTTGTATCATCAGAAACCATACTTCCCAGCAGCGTGCTATTCTTGTCTTTGGCAATTATGCGCAAGGCTTGATTGTACGTCTCAGCTTGTCCCGGGGCTTCATCAACGCAAATCGTATAAGCCGCCATTATTGCTCCATCGTCAACGGTACGATCAGGAATTTGGAGAAGCCGGTAGGCATCCCCGATATCCATCTCACCCGCTGTCATCTCGCCAGTTCTGACGAAGTGTCGGAGAGCATCCGATTTCCGAGCCTCCGCAATGAATTCAACTGCACGGCGCGCAAGATCCCGGCTTGATGGTGTGTCATTGACCTAAAAAGAAGATCAGCGCACATTTACATAAAGTAGTAATTGGTGGCGCAGTACCTTAGCTGTATACATGGCCATGATGAAGTCATCGCTTGTCTCCTCGCTCACACCAAGGTAAACTTGCGCTTGCTCAACAGTTGCCACTCCTTTACCCTGTTAGCTGTGGATCTCAAACGCTCGCTGTGGGGAAATCTTACTATCTTCAGCCGCTGATTTGATGCGCTCACTACGCCTGCTGTCGCCAATCTTCCACAGTTCTCTGCGTGATTCTGTCTCCTGAGTGGTGGAGCTCAAGTAAGCATGGAAGGTCCCAATGATGCTGTCCTCGGTAAGCCGCGGATCGTCATGGGTTAAACCGAAGTACTTGTAAGCATTGATCACATCGTCATCAGTGTATTTGCCGTCGGCATAAGCCACTTGAACGGCCTGGTCGATGGCGTCAGCTTCGTAGCCCCCTCTAAGGTTACCTATCGCTTTGAGACATTTCAAATATGTGGGCATGCGACCAGGGTCTACGGCGACCTGGCGATTGAACGCCTCAATAATCAATTGTGCAGACATGTCTTCCACAACGCCCAGATCTTCGTAATAGCTAAACCTTCGTCAGTCGACGTCAACAGGTCAAGTCTGTAAAGCACGTACGGAGCAGGGGGCATTTCGAATGAGTCGACATTGAGAGCCTTCTGGTCTGGAGGAGCTTGGTAAGCATGCGGCCTTCGGAAGAGTGGTGGTTGACCTACAATCTAATGCTTCCAGGGCATTCAAGAGGTCATTCTTTGCTATTTGGTATGGGAATTCCACCTGGTGGCCCTTCTTCTCAAGTACTGGCCTCTGCTCGATGAGCACAGCAAGCTCATGGAGAACATCATCGAGGAATATTTTGAGTTGATCCTGGTAGGGCACTTCGGCCCAGGCGTTGGGGCGCGGAGGCTCCCAGAAACCTTCGTTCTATGTAGAGTTAGGTATCAATGTCGCAGCAATCGGCAGGCATATACAGACCTTGACAGAGAAACCTAAAAATTCCAACAGGTCTTTGCAAGGCCTGCCTTCAACACCGAAGCACGCCATAAATCTCTTGTTGATCGCTGATATGGATTTACCCTGTTGACTGGGATTGAAGGCGTTGGTGATATATGTGCGCAAGTTTTCCAAGACATTGATGGGCTGCGGCCGAGCTATCCCTTCCAGGCGCTCGGGGTGTGTTGCAATCGCCTCATCTGCTCGCTGCTGCAGCAACTCCGGATCGGTCAACAGTTGTATCCATTCCGGATGTAGCACAGGAGACACAATCCTGACGGACACTGTCGTTGGACAAGTGAGGTAGGAGCAGTCATAATGGAAGGTCTCCGCTACCTGGCCCTTGGGTGTGATCTCCTCTGCCGTTGCACCTCCTCTCTGCCTCCCTGACTTATATACCAGATGGTGTATGTGTCCCGGCACACTCTGGCTGCCGATCCCAGGTGTCGACGTCACGACCAGCTGCAGATGGTATCGGCACTTGGAGCATATCGCCGATACTTTGGTGGGGTTGCCTGAGCTACCTCTCTGCTCTGGTTTTGGTAGGAAGCTTTGTTTCGATTTGATCAAATAAGTGTGACGGCATGCTGAGGGCGATATGAATTCTGATGGTCCAATATAGTGATCGGGGAAGACCGGGGGGACCTCCGACAGCAGGTTGCGGCCGGAGCCTGGAGGATGAACAGGGTCATAGTCGTGGATATCTTGCACAAGACGTGGGGCAGTCTTGCCTAGAAGAAGAAGAGATCATCATTAGTCCAAATGCGCATTCTCTGTAGGTGCTCCGGACTCTGAGAAAGTGATCCGGATTAGAGGAGGCTGTGATGCATACCAGGCTTCTGCGGAGACGACATGGGTAGGCTCTTATGAGCTCTCAGTTGCCGGCGAACCTTAGCAAACGAACTCTAAAGGTTTTTGTGAGGTTATTCACATAAAGTCTGGAAATAAAAGGAAGAATAACGACGCGACTCTCTTGCAGGGATGATCCACGTTATTGTATCGAACGCATTCGATTCTATTGGAAACAGAAAGCTGGACCGTTAGATCGTCGTAACAGCGGGGAGTCACTGCAGCAAGTGAGGCAGAGCAGGCGGCAAGTTCCCAGCGAACAACCCGCCACTCTCAACGCGGATAGCTTTAAAAATGATAGAAGACAACCACCAAGCGTGCAGGAGGTGAGAGAGAATGATGCCCGCACGCCAAGGGAGGAAATTAAGAGGTTTGGGCATAGATCAGATGCTCTGGTCAAACGGACTGGGAAAGCTGGGAACCTGGGGAAGGCGGTCTAGGGAGGCAGAAAGCGCGAGGTCCCAAATTCATCGAATCTCATCTCCGTCCGGACGACATTCGAGAGTGACAGCCACAGCTTAATCCCCAGCTCCTCAACCGCCACCATGGCTCCGCACCACGAAGAGCACTACCACCCCAAGGATGCGATCGCGGCATCGATGAAGACCACTATGCTCACTGGTGGAGCGGGTCTTTTCGCCTCGGCCGTCCAGAACACCCTCACCAGACAGAACGTCGGCCCGCTGGGCGTGTTCATCCGGAGCGGTGGTACCGTCGGTATCTTCGGTATGAATGCAATTGTGGACGCCTAGCGAATATGCTCTGGATTCAATCGGTTGCTAACGAATTTCGCGTCCAGCCGCCATGGGAGGTACCTACGAATTCGTGAAGACCGCATCCGCCAACCTTCGTGAGAAGGAAGACCACTGGAACGTCGCTCTGGGAGGTTTCTTCTCCGGCGCCATCCTGGGTCTCCGAGGTCTGTTGCCCGCGATCCGACCGTTCAATTGATCAAACATTGGTTCTGACAGGTCCGCAGCTCGCACATTCCCCGCCCTCCTGGGCTACGGCGTCGCTCTGGCCACCGCCACGGGCGCTTTCGAATACACCGGTGGATCGTTGTTTGGCCACAAGAAGAACACCGATATCGACGAGTTTGAGCGTCGGGAACAGCTCCGGAAGACATACAGAATCCCCGCAGAGCAGACTCTTGCCGAATTGGGCGAGGGACGAGGTGCGTCTTTCTTCCGTTGGAGGCAGATTGCCGTCCGCTGGAAGAGAACCCACGAGGTTGCTAACCCGGTTACACAGGTATCTATGGCCCCGGATACGCCGAGAGACGGGCGGAGAGAATCAAGGAGGCATACGGTATCGAGGTTCCCACAACGGCTCCGGCATCATGAACATGGTTTTGTTAGATATCTCTCCTGCGCAGTCCCTCAATTCTCAGTCTCGTTGTGTAAAACTACTACTACATCTTTTCTTATTTCTGTCGATTGCCGTTCAGCTAGCCGACATGGCACCTCCACCAATGAAGATTCCATTTTCTGTTCTACATCAAAGAAATACTACACGGTTCACCGACCGGCTACATTTTCCGAAAATAGATACAACACACCCTGCTAGTAGTACCTCTACATAGCATCAATGCATGATCTGTTCACCGAGAGTAGCCAAGCCGTGAGAGGCGAGGGGTAGCAAAGCATAGCATAGCATAGCATAGCATAGCTCAGCAGAGACAGATCAGGTGCCCGGTCAGTAGACACAGAACAACTTATCTCAAAAACCACTCAAACTACCATCTACCATACAACTTGTTCACCGCAGGAACAATATGCAAGTTTGCTTTTTTTTTTCCCATCTTACTGTACGCTTCACTTCCCTGGAAAAGGTTCCGTAAGATCGGTAAGTAAGACGAACAGCACAAGTAGGTGACAGTGACACCGCCGATAAGTTGATACCACCAAGCGCAGGGCAGCACAACACCGGCTGGGCTGCTGGGATCGAAGCGGCGAAAGGCGGGGAGGGCAGCTGAACCCGCCAGTCTGTCAGCCAATCACACGGCCGGCTTATCCAATCCCAGGCAGAATGGGTGTGGCAGTTCTGTCACACAGAACATGAAGTGAACCTCTCTCTCTCAGTGTTCTCTCCCTGCACTACGTAAATGAATAGCATGTACTTTGTAGAAAGACGATGTTTCAAAGTTTGGTTTGGTCGGGCAGGTCAGCAATGAAGTACCAAGTAAGGTAAAGAACAGACAGGACAACCTGCAGGACAACCGCGGAGTAGTAGTATGAGACTGGTGTTACGGTGCTGGGGGAGGGGGGAAAGTAGTACGTTGTGGTGGTTTCTGTCAATCTATTGACATTGATACAAGGGGTGTGCACGATAATCAGATGCAGGGGAAAATATGATATCACCTTTCTTCCCCCCGGGGAGGGAGGGAACCAAACACACCCCTTTAAAGGTTGGAACCAGCCGGAGTTGATCGGATCAGCAGCTGGGATATGGTTTGATGTTTCCGTCGGTCAATGTTCATTGGATAGCTTCATCATGGAAAAGTGATGGATAAGAACTACTACTTACTAAGGTGGCAGAAATAGTCTGTTTGCCATTACTGATCACTTGCACGCTATGCATTACCCAGTATGTATATATGTATGTAAGTGCTGGCTGGCTTATGGAGTAGATTGCTACTAAATCTGGACCAACCGTCGACCCTGCTACTACTCCCTAATCTCAGCATTGCAGATTACACTCGCAACATTCTAGTACTTGTACAGTCGTGAGCTACGTCAAGTAGATTGATATGGAAATTTGCCGGTGGGTTCATAATTGCGTTAGAAATACATTTGAAGGAATTAAGTTTGACGCTTAAACAAGATAAGTTTCTGAGCCACAGCAGTTCAGCTGGGTAAGTAAGTAAGCAAGCAAGTGAAGAGGCAAGGTGTGTGTGTGGGTGTGTGTCTCCATACAAAGTACTGCAACACAAGAAAAGAAAATCCCAATGTCGAACCCCATCGCAGGAAATCCATCCGGATCGACATGAACATGATGAACCGTGCATGACGTCGAGGGGTCAAAGTTGGTGTCGGACTTTCTGGTTTGCTGCCTTGACGATACCCAAAAGGGGAAGACAAGAACCACGACGATCGGCCCGACAGCCTCCTTTTTCCCTCTTTCTCTACGTGCAGTTCGCGAGAGAGACAGTTGCCACCGCGTTGGGGCAAGGCAGGAGGGGGGAAGGGAACCTAGGGAAGGGAAAAGGGGGAACTCCATCGAAGCCATGAAGAACGATTGCGCGCCGGCGCTAGAAAAGCCAACCCCCCGATGAGCGGGTTGGTGGACTCAGTGGAGAGGGTACAAAATGATACTTTGTACTAGGTGGATGAATTTATTTTATGATGACTGCCATTTCCGCTTAGATGAGTATGTATTGGGGAGAGTGATTGGCCCAGCGGACAATCCCCGGCCAAGCAATTTGCCCGTTCAGCCAGTCAGATGCAAGCATAGCCACACCCACCAGCCTTGCTTGTCCAAAAGAGGTAAGTGCAGACCGATGAACAAGCCACTCCTTCAGTCCGGCCTTGAATTTATCTGCTGCCATTTAGGTGAATTGTTGCTAGTGGTGCGGTGCTGCACGGTAGGATTCACTACTGTCTTCTCAAACAGCAAGGATGAAAGGCAGAATGAAATTCCTGGCGGGGAGGCACTCAAACAATAGTAGTTCACGGTTACTACCAGCTTACTACTGGGGACCCTTATGATTATTTTGGGAGGGGATACGAACTGTGATGATGTTGGCGGAGGGGAAGTGATGACGATGACTTGCCAGCTTCGCCTCTCCTGAACAAGGGAACAGGCAACGGCATTAAACCCACTTCCAGTTCTCCAGCAATACTACTTACTAACAGTGTCTATCTGCCTGCCTGTCTGTCTGTCTGTTCCTTAGGAGCAGATCCTTCTGTTTTATTAATATTTATTTCCTCTTCATTTCCGTGGGGAGGTTATTTTTATACTACTAGTATTCTTTTGAGTGTCGACTCTAATTAGCGACGAATGCGGTATCATCTGTGGTCCTGTTCTGGAAAAGGAGACCATTCCGATCGACCACGATCACAAGCAAACTATCTACAACTACTTTGCGACTACCCCGATCTCTCAGCTCTGATTGCATGACTCTTCGTGTGTCTGGCTGGTTCTAGTTCAAGGATCTGGTGAAGTCAAGTCGGGCCCGGAGATTCCGTTCCAACCTTTGGGCGTCATACCGTCGCAGACTTTCACCAAACAACTGGGTGCTTTTGTCCGGCGTAGACGTCATCCGGAACCGGCACTGAATTATAGCTTCCATCATTTCCCCCCCTTTTATCACGACGAGCAGCAAGCAAAGAGAAACAGTTGAACTTGCATCGGAGGATTTTTTTTGTGCTTTCTCCTGAGTTTTTCTATTCTGTTTGTGGATGAGTTGGATCCCTCCACTACCAACTATATTGTCGATCTACCTGCCGCCGGATCTTTTGTCACTGACTTACTTCTTCTCCCCTGCCCCTACTTTACTCATTCAGTACTTAGTAGTTGTTATACTACCTACGTACTACTCTCACTTGGCTTCCGCTTCCCTTATTACTTACTATTACTCTGGGATCCATCCCTCTTCCCTCGTCCTTTCGACCCGGTGGGGCCCAATCTCCCTGGGAAACTAAATAATAACCCCCGAGACGCGTTCTGATCGGCTGCTGATTATTCCTGCTCCTGCACCGACTACTCCGGCCACTATTGCGAGCGCAATCGTACTAGTCTCACCCGCTAACCCGTCCTTTCCTCTCTACTTGCTGTGTTGGTGCACCGACTTGCAGACGACGACGACAAGCACCTTCGCGCCGGACGGATAGGAGTTGTTGCTGGCTCTTTTGCCCCCGCAAACAGTCCGCCCCAGACCCTTTGGGCCAGAGTCGAGACACTTCCGGCTGGTCGCTAATTTCCACTTGCTTGATTCCCCCCAAATTCGCCCTGGTAACCACGGCTAGGCTTGCTTGACACTACCACTACTACCACTACCACTACTACTATCTACTCCGTACTATCCTGTCTCCCTTCTCCCCCCCAAAACTAGATCCGTCGTGATTCGTTCCGGGGTGGTGGATTCAGATCTCTCTCCTTTTTCTCTCCCCTCCTATTCTCATTTCTTTTTTTATATCGCGTTTCATGATATATTATCAGACCTTACCCTTATATTCTTATCACGGCCGCCCGCATCCGGAACTGTCTTGCACCCAAGCTTGCAACCACCCGGTCGCTCGATATCGACACACGGGCCTAGCCAGGTCTGCACCGCCCGATTGTTCCCAACTGCTACCACCCTCTCTGTTGTCCGTCACATCGCCGCCCTCCTCCGCCTCCTCCTCTTCCTCCCTCCCCCTCTTCTCTCCCCTTCCCCTCCTCCTGTCCAGCCATGGCTATGGCCGTTAGGTCGCAAACGCCAGTGCAGGACACTTACGGCTCTATTCCACACCACCCCGATCTGCTATTAAATCGCGGGTATAGCACGCGCTCTAGCTCCCGACCGAATTCGATCGTCGCCAGCACCTCCGGTTACCTTGCGCACGGCGCCAATCCTGAGGCACCAACCTCCCACCCGTATAACGGCCGCTTTCACGAGGAATTCGATGTTGCCAGTCAGCGCGACTCGGTAGACGGTCCATCCGGCATGCAGCGATCCGCTTCCCAAATGTCGCAGACCCGTTCCGCGACCCCGACCCGGACCAGTACATTGAAGAAGAAAGCATCCCTCAGCAAGAGGGGCAGTATGCGCCGCAGCGGTAGCAAGCGCAGCTTGCGCGCGGGCAGTGTACGGAGCCTGGTCCTGGGTGACAAAGAAAAGTATGGCGCCGATGGCGAAGATCCGAACAGCGCTTTCTATGTTCCTATCCCCACGAATGGCAGCCCGACTGAGGTTCTGGCCAATCGCTTTCAAGGTACTTCAGCATGTTATCCCCAATTTTTTTGGTCTCTGGTGTGCTAATCCATGGTAGCATGGCGCAAGGTCCTGAAGGACCTCATTATTTTCTTCAAGGAAGTGCAGAAGTCCTACGAAACCCGATCGAAACTGTTCCTATCAGCATCCAATATCATGCAGAACACATCGCTTCCCCCCACGTTCCTCAAATCCGGCGGTCTGTCCGATGCGACCGACATTTTGCGCGACTTTCACCGACAAGGATACTTGGAAGCGAACAAAGCCGCGGAGGTGGAAAGCGAAGTCGTGAACCAGCTGATGGGTTTGCGAAACGATCTGCAAAAGAAGACCAAGGAAATTCGGGGTCTCTCTGGAGATTTCCGCAACTCCGTGGAGAAGGAAGTCGACGCCACCCGCAAAACGGTTCGGCACTTGCACGAAGCGCTGGGCCTGGTTGACACCGACCCTTCCGCAACCTCTGGAAGAGGTGATCCTTTTATTGTTCGCCTGGGCGTAGACCGGCAAATTGAGAAGCAAATCGAGGAGGAAAACTACCTGCACCGTGTATGTGGTTCATCAGCAGAATCGCAATGCGCAGCACTGACGTTTTTAGGCATTTTTGAACCTGGAACATTCTGGTCGCGAGCTCGAGTCCATCGTTGTAGGCGAGATACAGAAAGCATATAATGCATATGCCAGCATCCTCAAGCGTGAAGCAGATGAGACATATGACACCGTCGAAAAACTGCGCGCGGGGCCGATCTCCATGCCTCACGATCACGAGTGGAACTCCTTCATCGCGAACACGGATGAACTGGTCGATCCGCGCGTTCCTCTTCGCGATGTGGAGAATATCACATACCCGGGTAGGGATCATCCCGCGGCAGTGGAGGTCCGGTCCGGGATGTTGGAGCGCAAAAGCAAGTACCTCAAGAGCTATACACCCGGCTGGTGAGTAACACCCAGGATGAAGGTCCCATGTATCCTAGAATAGTTTTTGCTGACTTGAGTAGGTATGTCCTGTCACCTACTCATCTTCACGAGTTCAAGTCTGCCGATCGAGTCGCATGGCAACAACCGGTGATGTCATTGAACCTTCCCGAGCAGAAGCTGGGGTCGCATTCGCAGCCAGACTCGACGTCGCACAAATTCATGCTCAAGGGGCGACAAACCGGGACAATGCACCGGGGTCATTCTTGGGTCTTCCGCGCAGAATCGCACGATACGATGATGGCCTGGTATGAAGACATCGAGAGCCTCATCTCGAAGACTGGCGAGGCTCGGAATGCATATGTGAGGCAGCATATTCGAACTGTGAGTGGCATGAGTTGGCGGAACAGCAGTGATGGGATGGATGAAGACGAAGCAGACCGCACACCGTACTCTGCAGAGTCCGCAGTCTTGCACCAGGAACGTCCGACGTCTCAGCCTCGCGAACCGGGCGGGCGTTTCCCCAGTGATGTGCAAATAGACCGCCATTTGGAGGCTCCACTGTCACCCTCTAGTGGTGAGAGCTCTGGCGAGAGAGAGCTTCTAGCCGCAGCCGGCTCCTTGCCTGACGGTCGGGATTCATTCAGCAATGATGTAGAGATGGGCCAGAACCGTGCTGGCAGTGCTGCTGCTGCAGCTCCAGTGGAGAGACACGATAGCTACTATGGCAGCTGGATGAGCACGTCAGATGGCGGTCGACAGAGACAGTTTGGCCAGCACACCCAAAACTCGAACGACAACCGGGAAAGAGTCGGATCTGATCGAGGGAGTACCACGAATTTATATGTGGCGGGACTTGGGTCCACAAACTCTCGCGACCCTTCTTTGACCCGCCAAAGGGAGCGCGGCGAGAGCACATCAACCGCACCAACAACGACGAATGTAACCGACTACACTCATACCACCGTGCCCACGTCGATTGATGAACGGGAAGAGTCTGACGCTCAAGATGACACCTTGGTGGACGACGGTGTGGGCATTACGAAGCAGCAATCGGCGGCTTCGGTAGACGGCTCAATGCGGACGCCACTGGCAGGACCTGTCACAACCGAATCGGCGGCTGCCTCGCAAACCGGAAGTCTCAGGCGTCCTCCACCGCAGTCCAAGAATAGTGTGTCGACGCTTGAACTACAGATTCCAGGCCATTACCCTCCAACCGGTATGGCTGCATAAGCAACGACTGTGCTACGGCGCTGTGTTGCTATTTTCCTATGTCACCATTTCCTTTGTTGATTTCATTTGTTACTTTCCTATGTATATTATTCTCACGCATGCATATGTGGATGTGATGACCTTCTCTCCCATCGGGGAAAGAAGATTACTCACTTCCAAAACCGGGAACGCTGAAGTCAGGCAATGAGCCTACTAGCTGCGCCCTAACATATTTGACATATCACTTTTCGGCGTTTGCAATGTGACAGGTGGTGGTGACCGGTCCACGGATGGATGGACGGACCGGATGGACGGTTGGATGATCAAGGCGTTTGGTTCAATTCTGGATAACTGGCTGGGACATGTTTCTTTTCTCACTTCTCGCACTTATCAACGTTTGCGATGCACCGTTTGCGATGCCTGGTTTCTTCAATTCTCTGTACAATATTCCCCCACCATTTGAATTTTTCTTGGTCTTCATCTTATTCTTGCTTCAGCTGGATGATCTGAGCTTTCTTTCTGCGTCTGCTATATTTTGCATGCTTGTTGCTTTGCTTGTTTTTGAACCTGGTCTGGTTGTCGGGAGTTTGAATCCTCGGATGGATGCATGCAAACAAACACACGGATCGTTTGTCCTTCATCAGGACTTTGGATATCTATCTATATAGCTTACGAATGAACTGAACTGAATTCCAATATGCTATCTAAACTTTAATAGAAGATTAAATTATCGACCTCCATATCAAACCAACGATGCCATCCAACTTAACTACACGTGATTTCCCCCATGACCGTTGGACCATTCCCGAAATACATATCTCCATCGCCAATAGGTACGGTACATACATGGCTAGTCCAAAGGGAAAAAGTTTAAAAGCAAAACCCAGCTAAACCTAGTACCCTGATCCCATAAAACCACTGAAGGAAGTATGTCGAAGTCTCTTTCCGTCTCAAGATCCTTCTTGACTAAGACCAAATAAATATCGAACACCGCAGTATCGAATCTCCATGGGATGTACGCACCATATCAGAGTGCTTGATTAAGTAGATAATATCAATTCTCTCTTTATCAAGAGATAATAAGCAGGTTTTCAGAAGAAGGATCGGTTAGTCAATAGTAGTTAGTTGACTTTCTTTATCCTATCATTTGTCTCGCCTGCAAGCTAGGCCAACGGCAATGTCAACCAACTTAGTATACATGTCCCAAGACTAGGAGAAACTTGGGACAGATTAGCTTATATTTAGAGGCCATAACCAGTGGCAGCTGGATGGTACGTACTGGATGATTTCAAACAGGCTGGGAGGACAGTGAACGGTTTGATTCGGTTCACCCGTAACATAGCGAAGTCCTAACTGGATTGTCAGCTGGATAATCGATGCATGCCACGGCCTTGATCTGTGTATCTTATAGTTGTGATTCCGCCACCACCATACTATCACTGCATTCCCTAATTAATTATTCAAGTTGTGAGTAGTACCCACACCATTCAATGAACACTCGCTGGTACCACTGCTGCTCTCACTGGATGAGGCCTCAGAATGGCTTCTTGTTGTATCACTTCAGCTCATCTGACCGTGTATGTCTCTCTCTATCATATTTAGGCTTACGCGTAATCCTCTTCCTCTCTTGGCCAAATATCCGTCACTTAACTGAATGGCATATAGGAAGGCTTTGTCGGGGCTGAGATCCTTAGGCGGCTCTCTAAAATATGGGTGATGCCTCACAACAAAGAGCCGGGCAGCCCTAAGGGCCAATGAGCAGCAAAGAAGCTTGAAAACGAACAGATAGAACTGACTGAAAAAATACATGATGAATGAAATAAAAACACACTTCCAGCCGAATCTTTTTCTTTTGATTCTGCTCAGTTTCCCCTCCGTTTACTGTTGTTCCCATTTTCCTCCCTTCTCCTCCTCATCAGTCTTCCTACCTCCCCTCTCCCAGCCCAACCCAGAACTACCTCTTCTACTTGACCTACTTGAGCCACCCGACCAACAGCCAGTATGGTCACTACTCGGAAAAAGCAAATGCCGCCCAAGCGTCCTCCCCCAGACATAGAAGAGAAGGGAAAGGGGCCAGCTGTGTACCCCAATGGCGAGTATCTCTGTCAACAAGAGGAGTATCATGACATAATGGAACATCATTTCATGATGGGCATGCTTACACGACCTCATATACGATCCGCTCCGGAAATAGTCCGCAATGGCTTTAGTCTGCTCGCTCTACGCGTCCAGGGCTGGGCCATGGCATGGGGTGAAAGCAAGCCGATGTACCGTCTCTCTGATGATGACAAACGGATGATCATTGAAAGCCTGGATGGGTTTTGCGTCCAAGATGACTGGGACAGTATATATTCCTCTCTTCCCCCTGGCGGTCGTGCTGATTTTGGGGTTGTCTTGTTGGAAACCATGATGAATAAGTTCATTTATGATAAATTTGCCGCCTCTACATTCTGGTTCATGGATGCCAAAATGGATGCTGCTGATCAGGAAGGAGACGACAACTTCTGCAAACGACTCGACTATGTCTATGAGAGGTTCAAAGAAAGTAAGTTTCAGGACCCCTTCGTCCTCCCCCCACCCTCTTTGTTTTCTCCCCACGCTGTGGAGCCAATGTCGCTGACTTTACCCTTTTTCTGTTCCTCCTGCATAGCATTGCCCAAAGACGCAGCCTGGTGGAAGTCGACCCTCGTGAGCGTATGTATGATGAGAGCGTCAGAATGGGTGTCCAATCCTCCCCCCACACCACTCCTTCATGCGACACTGGAACGCCGGAAGGCCCTCCTCAAGGCCTATGGAGACGAACTGCTAGCGAGCCAGCCATTCCAGCTCTTATTCCGAGGCTCACTGAGCGAGAAAGATCAGGCAATACGCGAAGAAAGAACTCGCGAAGTCCTAGAGGAAGCTGCCCATCAGTTCACCAGTCTCCAAGGCGATATGTTTGGCAATCTTGTAGTTAAACTACTGCCTGAGCTTCCGATTTCTGATCGCCATGCCAATAACATGGATCATCATATCCTTCACGTCGGCTTCATGCCTCACCACGGTGCTCGGGTTCTAAATCGTGACACGCCCGCACTACAGCTATCATGACATTGTAGCGACCAATGGTTGGCAATCTCGGCCTCCTCTCCAGATCGTTACTGCAAGGGTCCTGACGGCGCCTAAGGGGCCCAAAGCTCGGGCTCGATGGGCTGCTGCGGGTTTCAAGCCCATTTATATCGCGCAGGGTCACACCAATACCGCAGAAAAGGAGGGAGTGAACCAAGAGGAAGCTGTTGAAGAGGGTAGTGATGGTGAATACAAGCCACGGAAGTTGCGGAGGACATATTTGCGAGGGGCTGAAGATGAATGAGGGGTATTAGCCTGGGAGTAGACGGACGGGTGTTTGTCGTTGATATAGGGGCTCTATATAATTTCTATCGTGCTTCAGATCTGTCTCTTCCATCCTTTCTTTCTTATTATTTTTTGATCGTATCAATTAATTGCTTGTGTATCTCTGTCATTCATTCCTTTCCCATCAATAGATTGCTTTATTTTCTTCAGCAACCAACTGAATAGTAATATCCATTGTCGAGCTTTCTTACTATACATAGTATAGCCTTGCAGTAACCATGATGTCCAAGACATGTATGTATTACACTAGCTGTGGAAGACTGCCCTCCCGCCCCCCGCCCCGAAAATAAACCTGGATACATACTATAGACAGCAAGACCTCCCTCATCTCTGGTCCGTGCATAGATAATCCCTACACCTCTCAGATACGCTCGGTGGGGGATTTCATCATGGTAATACCATATAAACCACTCTCATGCACTATATTGTAGAATTAAATGATTGTAAGTCCAATTTTTTTTTTCTTCGCTATGATAAAGCTACCACATCTGATAACTATACCTGAACTGCTGGATAGTCTTATATAAGACGGAGCCACACTATACAATAATAAGTACCGTTCAATTCACTACCCGACTGGCTCCAGTTTGACTTCAATGATAGATTTGCTTTTGTTTTCCAACTTTCCGACCTTATTAAAGCGGTCGGTTGCAGAATCAGCTCCAGATAAATAGCTGGATAAACCAGTCAGGGTGGTCTAAATCAATAGCTAGCATGCATGAACATTACCTATCTATTCTCGATCCTACTACTCCTATCTACGGAGTAATATTTGTTCAGGTGATTAATCAATCTCCAGAACTGAGCTTGGCACATACATTCAACCAATCACATTACCATATACTCATCCCCCGGATATCAACTCCGATGGTAAGTATGATCTAAACAGAACATAACCGAACAGAAAGTTCGATCTTCGATATGATCTTCAGGTCTTTTTGGCTTAGCCCCGCTATCCATCTCTATCTAATTCTAACCAATATTTTCCCGCTACGAGTCATCGACGTGGGACCCCGTACCAAAATACTGAAGAGATCTAAGTGGCGGTAGTGCAATTTATCTACACTACTCACAGTACTCGCTTCCTACTGGATCTAGTAAATAGTTGAAAGGCTGAGTGAGTGAGTATCCATCTGACCACACACACACACACACCCACACGCCACTGCATCTGAAGGATTCTGACGGGGGTGGGGGATCAAAGCGTGCCTTGTCTGCGCTCTGCACACCCTGCAGCCTGTCATCTATTTACACATCTCACCGCTAGTATGTACACACTAAGATAAAGTCTAATTGAATAATAGGTGCCACTTTGACCTGAGAGTAACCCTAGCCGGGATGAATCTCAATCTACTGTGGAAGAAATCTCGTGTGGGGGCATTCGGAGAGAAAATTTCGAGAAAATACCGATTCAAGTGTGATGATCAGCTGGCGGGGATATGTGGCTCATAGTCTCACTACTACTAGTAGTAGTGGTAGTGAGTGAGGAAAATGGGGATGTGGATGTGGATGTGGATGGGGCAATAGATTGGGTTCGAAGGTAGACCATAAGTAGCTTTTTCTGGAATGGCTTTTGGTATAAAGAAGATGCTGCGGGGAGTTCACCTTGAACAGTGGTATAATTATAACTTACTCCCTTTCTACATTCCATGTTTTATAAGTTATAGATAGTAATGGTATCATGATCTCGAAAAACCCAACATGTTGATCGGAAGACTGCGGGTATATACTCCGTAGTACTAACTAGTAACTAAACTAAACTAGCGCGTGGCTGAGGTTTGAGGTTTGGTGGTGCATCGGGACGTATCTGAGATTTGTACACTAGATTAGACTAGATTATACCGGAGCAGATCGTCAGAAAGGCAACGAGATGATGCGGGGCAACTTGTGATAGCTGAAACTGCAACATGACCAGTTGGAGTCATTCACGTTTGCGAGTTCTTCGATGACTTTTCAGCTGAGCTGAAAGAAAATGACGCAGTTTTCTCAGCTGTAGTGGGGATATCTACCTACTGTGTCTGGTATTTAAGTGAGCAACCTCTCCCTCTTTATTTGCATGCTTTCTTCTTCTTAATCCTATCTACAACTCTCTCTCCCTCTCTCTCTTCATTCTTTTACCAAACCATCATGCCGCAACACAGGTGTCACTGGTGCAACGGCTCAGGCCACAACTAATCTTTAAGAAATAAATTGATGAACATCTACTGTGATAAGAGTTTTGGAAATATTTAGATAGGTTAATCTATAGCAGTACCCTCTTTCTCTGCAATACATCCACCTGAATCACTAATAATATACTCCATCCTCCTCCTGTGTATACCGCTGTCTAAACAGTACCATCGATGGATATCAGCGTCAGAAGCTAAGAAGCCACGACGGTGGTAAGATCCAACTGTGAGTCCCGATACGAATAGCAATCAGTAGACGAAAAGCAGAGGGAACTATATCTTCACCTCCTCCTATAACAAGTAAGTAGACAAGGATTAACTAGTTAGTATAGAATTCAAAGATCTTTTAGACAATATCTTCATCTCGCAAGTTGAGCTATAACTTCTTCGATCATTACGGATAGTAGTGGTCATCCTTATGGAAATATGACCATTGCTCATAGGTAGTAGTAGAGTTCAGTCATGTCTTCCGTGGGAAGAATGGCTTACTCGTAGTACTGTTCTACTGGACACAAACTAGATTAGGAGCAAGCACAACACCATTCACTACCCTAGTAGACAAGCTGTGTGTAATCTTCAGAACGTAGAATGTGAATAGATGCCAGAGCCACTGCAAATAGCTTGAAACATACTGATAACTCCAATACAGTCACTACCATGTATAGTCGGGTATCTCCGTCCTAGCCTACCACTTACAAGCCTACAGATCAAACAATCAAACGGGTCAAACCCTCCAGTGCAGCAAATTCGCTAGGGCAACCGTCCAAACGCAAAGGACCATATCCACCAGAAGCCATCCGCTTGGAATTTCAGCTTGAACAACATCCGATGCGTCCCCGCCAGACCATATCGTCGGAGAAATGAAACAACAATAGAATGCCCGATAGTAATAGCAAGAAAAACAAATCATAAAGTATGCCTGGTATGGAACAAAATGCAGCATACGCGAATCCGCGCCAACAGATCATTCTTTTCTCGATCCGGAGTGTTACATCGCAAACTTTTTTCGGCCTCGATATGTCCTCCCGAAAGAAAAAGCAAATCATATGGTAGTGTTACATGATCTGATCCTGCGTGATCGGAGCAGTCGGCTCAGTGCCGTCCATCGCAACATCACCGGGCCCTGGGCCGGCGTTCATGTACTTGACGAACGTAATGCCCAAGGGACGACCGCCGTACTGGTAGCCGGTGAACTTGGCTGTAATGCAGTTAGTAGATGTCGTTCTGCAGCTAATCACAAAACCTACCGATAGCAGTCTCCGCAGTTTCCGTACTATCAAACTGAACCACACCGGTGCCGCGGGAGCGACCATTGGGCTCGTACTGGATCTCCGCGCGATCAACCTTGCCGATAGTCGAGAACAAATCCACCAGATCCTCGTTGCAAGTCGACCAGGGCAGGTTGCGCACGTAGATGACAGCGCTCTTGTCGCCGCCGGAGGTAGCGAAATCGGTGAACGGGTTAGGGGGTCCAGAGGGCACACCCTCGAAACCACCAGGAGCACCACCGAAACCGCCAGGAGCTCCGCCATAACCACCACGGAAGCCTCCGCCAAAGCCGCCACGGCCACCAAAGCCACCGCGGCCACCGAAACCACCACCAAAGCCACCGCGACCTCCGAAGCCACCACGGCCACCGAACCCAGGTCCAGCACCAGCGAAGCGATCCTCACGAACCTCCAGCTGGCGTCCTTGCCAGTCGTATCCGTTGAACTGCTGAATGGCATTCCGGGCATCCTCAGGGGACTCGAAGGCGACGATACCAGAGCCCTTGGGACGGCCGGTGGCATCGGTGTGAACATCGGCACGGATCACAGCACCCTGCTGAGCTATGTGAGAAGTCAATGTCAGTCCTGAAGACGCTTGCGACGGAAAGGAGGCAGAGAAGGCGGTTGAATATAGGCTCTGCCGTCCCATACTTACCAGCTTGGCGGAAAAGATCCTTCAAATCTTGCCAGCCAACATTAAACGGAAGCTAAACATCCCCAGCGTCAATACCTAATCCTAGTCGAGCACGATATCAAATGTCAATGGTGGACGGGAATAAACCAACATTCGAAACATAAAGCTGACGGCCACCAGCGCCGCCGCCGGCAGGGCCACCGAAGCCGCCACCGAAGCCGCCGCGACCACCACCTCCGAAGTCACCACGAGAGGGACCTCCCGTGAAACGAGGCTCGGGCTCACGGTCCTGCGCTTTGTCAGTATCCTCCGATCAAGACTTCAGTGTCCTGGAGGGAAATGATGCATCATACCTCACGGACGTAGACGAGTCTTCCCATCAAGTTCTGGTTGCTGAGGGTGTTTACCGCATTTTGCGCTTGTTCCCTGGTTGCGTATTCCACAATCCTATTGTGACTGTCAGTAACAGAAAACTGACTATCAAAGACCAAGTGAGTCCACTCACCCGCATCCCTACAGTATCCCGGACGGCCAGGCCCAGCCCGTCAACCCAAACAGTCCATAACAAGCGAACCAACAGGGGAAGAAAAAAAATCCAGAAACACAAAAAGGGAAAGGAAACCAGCCACACTACGCATTGGCGCCCACCTTCGACATTCCATTGGGAAGCAGTAAGACATCGGCAAAGATGACTTCTCCAGCTGTTCGAGCGCGGAACGTCCCCCTCCAAAGTCAGCCACAAATTCCAGACCCGCACAAACGCTATCACACGCCCGGCAACACGATATGACCCTGCTCACCCTGTCTCATAAAGTCTTTCAGATGATGCCACTTGACATCGTAGGAGAGGTTGCCCACATAGACGCGACGGTCTTGCTGGGACGACTCGCGCACGGCTTGCATCATTTGTTCTTTGGCGACGGCGCGATCTTCGAACGAACGGGGGGGAGGTGGGTAGCTGCTGCGCCCACCGTAACCAGAAGCAGAATGACCACCGGGAGCGCCTTGGGTCGTACTCATAGGCGAACGAGAACGACGGTCGGAGCGGCGATAGTCGTCACGGCTGCGAGAGCGACTGCGGGGAGAGTAAGAGCGACGGCTGCGTCGAGGGCTACGAGAACGACGACGGGGAGAACGAGACCTCTCGCGCTGTGCGTGGTCAGTGTCGTCGAAAGCAGATGGAGACATGAGGCGGGACAAGAGCGAGCGCGCGGGAATGGCAGAGGGAGGGTGGAGATTTAAAGAGAGGCAAAGAGGTGGTGAGACAAGAGTGGGTTGGATGAGATCAGCGCGCAAGGTCCCTGGAACTGGGGGGTGGGTGGAAAATGGAGCTGCTTGGTTGGATGGAACGAAATCGGGAGAATCGGCAATGGGGAATGGCAATGGAGAGATGGGGGAGTGAATTGGAGAGTTGAGAGGTGAGTTAAGTGAGAGGGAAGAGCAGGAGCAGGAATGCACGGGACTGGATTGGATTGGGTCCGAGTTCCGGTTTCTGCGCCAGACACGGGGCCGGTCAGGTGATTTGACACACCCAATAGGTTTAGCGTCAAACGCCAGACCGGGGGGACCCTGGGGAAGTCACGGGCAACTGGACACAGCCCATTTCCAACAGACCAGCAGTGGAAGGGGAGGAGAGTGAAGAGACAGATGCAAGTGAGAACACAGTGAAATATCTCTTCCGTGTGGTAAATGAGCAAGCAACAACCAAAAGAATAATCCCAAAATTAGATGCATCATAGATGAAGATCGGAGTGGAAGATCAAGAACGAGGGTGGATAGCTTGCGGGAGTGGCAGCAAACAGTGGGGATGACGGATTCCCGAACGTGAGCCGTGAGCACCGCCCATCCCATCACACTCTGTCTAGTATCGCTGAGATGGACTTGTTCACTGTCTCCCCGTCCAGCTGCCCGCAACAATGGCAAAGAGAGTTCTTTCTTTCCAGGAAGAAAAACAAACAACCAAGAACAGCGCTAACTCGCATCCATACTCCAAGAAGAGCTACAAGGGAACCAATCGATCGGAAAGCAAACTTACTTGATAGGGTCGATAGACGTCGGCTGAAGATTAAGCCTAGATGGTAAGCCACCGAATCCACGGTCGGGAGGGAACAAAGCAGTAGAAAGGAAATTACCAGCGTACGAAAGAAAGAAAAAAAAAGAGGGGGAAGATTGGGATGGGAACGGGAAAGAAGGAGGAATTAAGGTAGAAGAAAGAGGAATGGAGAGGAGGCGAGACGCGAGAGATAAAGGAGGGTGACGGCGGGAGGGGGGAAGGGAAGTCAAGTCAGACACAGAAGAAAGTGTGTGTGTGTGGGCGGCTGTGTGTGTGAGAGACAGGGTGAGGAAGTAAGTACTACTACTAGCACAGTAGTAGGTGGTAGTAGTGTGCGCGTGTGTGTAAGAAGCAGCCAGCCAGGGAAGGGGATGGCCGAGAGGAGGGGGGGTGGGAAAAGAGAGAAAGGGAAAAAGAAACGATGAGACAAGGTGCAAAGCCAAAACCAGGTGAGAAAAGAGACCACTGTCGTGCTGTTCCAGCCCGTGTGTGTGTGTGTCAAGTCAGATCCAATCCCATGCCATCCCAACCGCCCAGTGCAGAAGCAGTTCGAGTCCGTCTGTGTCTGCCAGCCCGTTCGGGACACCATGCAGCACGCGGCGTGATTGGCCTTTCCCCCCGGGGGCATCCGCAGACAACCCTCCACTGAGCGTGGTTGTGGTTGGCGTAGCTGTCGCAGCAAGAGGAATGAGATGCATGGTCGGGATAAATGGTCACTGCTCTGACTCGGCACGTCCACCCGGCGCAGTGAACGAGGATGGAGGTCCCCTGCTGGTGTGGGAACCCGTGTGATGATGATGAGGGGGAAGCTCAGCGATACGGGTAGGTATGTGCAGCCTAGACAAGGGGTTGGTGGGAGGAGGCACACCAGGGTTGAAGTCAATCCTGTCTGCCGGGCAATCACGTCACAAGTTCATTCCCAGCTGGGACAGGAATGTGAGGTGAGGTAGCCTCAAGTATGGATTATGGATCGAAGCAAGAGGGAAACGTGGGCTGGATGTCCACCGGGACAAGCCATTGACGGTGGATCACGAGAGAGACAAACAAACAATCCGGGGAACCGCCATGGGGAAAAGAGAAGTTGCATTATAGGAAAAGTATCACCCACCCATGATGATGATAGTGACAATATTGGATTTGATGGAGTAAGAAGAACAAAATGGATGAAAAGGGAGGTTGTGGAAGGGAGATGATACGTTAGTTATCACAAAGGAGAGAATAGTAGCAGTAATACGAAGTAGTGGTGGTAGTGCTGATGATGATGGTGATAGAACAAGGTAAGTAAATAAATGGAGGGACAGGAAGACAGTCTGGATCGCCTTTCAAGACGGACGGACGATTATCAGAACAAATCGGAGATCCGAAAGGGCAGAAGAGGGGGATGGGAAGGGATAGTCTAGTGGTCTAGTTAGTACGGCAGTAGTGCCAGATGCAACCAACACACTAGTAGATAATAGTTGTGAGGAGAAGAAAGAGAGAAAGAGAGAGAGAGTCAGATGGGGCCAGAGTGTGAACAGACAGCAGCTGGGGATAAGCAGAAGATCACTCCGACCAGCCGGCAGGGATGGAGGCTCGAGCGGTCGGGATGTTCTCTGATAAATGGAGAGGGAATTAATTGAAGGAATAAAAAGGATCCAAGGGAAATTCAAGGGTAAGAGATGGCCGAGTGGCAGTAAATGAGGCATTAGTTGATCATCATCCATCAACATCAGACACAGACAGCCTATCATCATGTGAGGATCAACAGGCACAGGCACCACCACTGCAATTGATTCCAGCCCTTCATTTACTTCCAGATTACTCTAAAATACCTATCAACTAGATCATACTTAGAGCTATGCAGTCATTGACCAATAAAAGCTACCGGAGTGTGTCAAACCCAAAGTTGTTCCCATTGTGACTCCCCAATCTGATTCCCCAGTCCATACTCCATCCACTGTAGCACTAAAGACAGCCACTGTCTCAGCGCCCCCGACAGAATCAAGACACTTGAACCACCACAAGTCCCAATCAGTTCCATCAATTAGCACTGCAGAGTGCTCCATCAAATAACCACTATTCCTACTGATCGCATTAGCTGGTATACACTATACAGTCCAAAGAGTTGACCCCAGACAAATACCACTATGTACTAAGACATCCCGAAGAAGAAGCTCTTGGCTCTCCGCTCAGGCCACCGCTTAGAAAATCCTCCGCCATCCATCCAACTTCCATCTCCATCTCCATCTCCGACCTTCAATTCCTCCCCAACAACAACCACAGCCACTCACCCATCCACCATGACTCGCACACAACCCCTCCTAACCCTCTCCCGGAGGTATTTCACAACTGCCGCACCCCGGACAACCACAACCACACCCATCCGTACAACCACATCTCTCCTCACCACCAAACCCACCACCACCACCCTCCGCATTATCCAACACCAACCATGCCTCCGCACGACCACCACCACTCCTAGCATCCGTTCTTACCACTCCATCCACCACCCCTCCCCACCCCACGAATACTCCAACTCCCAAACGACCATCCTCTCCTCCGCTCTCCGCCACGTCCCGACCCACGGCTTCACCCGCGACGCCCTAACCCTCGGAGCCCGGGACGCCGGCTTCCTCGACGTCTCGGTGCAGCTTCTCCCGCGGGGCGAATTCGACCTGATTCTCTTCTGGCTGGCGAGCCGTCGGGGTCTCCTCCGCTCCAAGGTGGAGAATGATGCGCTGCTGCAATCATCCCAGCAGGGACCTCTGTCCGTGGACGACAAGATCAAGGTTCTGATTATGGAGCGGTTGCGCATGAATGTTGAAGTGAAGGATAAGTTGCAGGATGTATGTTCCCACTCCCTATCTTCATTCTAGTAGTGATACGTGTATATGCTTATGATTAATGGTAATATAGGCCCTAGCCATCATGTCCCTCGGCGAAAACATCCCCCTCTCATTATCCGAGCTGCACGCTCTCTCGGACGATATCCTCACGCTAGCGGGCGACGCTTCCGTCGATGCATCGTGGTATTCGAAGCGCATGGCTGTGGCGGCGGTGTATGCTTCGTCGGAGTTTGTCATGACGCGGGATACGAGCGCCGGGCTGCGTGATACCGAGGAATTTCTGACTCGCCGGTGGGCGGATGCGAGGGCTGTGAAGGATAAGGTGTCTGGGGTGAAGCAGTGTTTGGGGTTCTTGGGGTCGACTGCTGTGGGATTGGGGAGGAGTTGGGGGTTGAAGTTGTAGCTGGTACCAAACCTTCATATGATCAATATGATGGGGAAGAAGGTATGGGGTGGTAGGATGTACTATTATTAACATCATTTCTTTTTAGCTTGCTTTGCTTACAGGTATTTACTTCCGGTGATACAATTGTATATTTACATTCACGTCTCTTTCAACGGCGCCATACATGTATACTATACTATACAAGTCAATTAATAATCCCTCGCCCTCTCAATCTCCTTCACCCTCCCCTCCAACTTCTTCACCCACCCATCATCCCCAAACAACTCCCGGACTGCCTTCCGGTTCGGTGCCAAATCCCACCACGGCTCACGATTCGACTTCCCCTGCTTTCCCTCCACCTTGGCCTTCCGCCAATGATTCCTCAGATCATGATCCCTCTGATTCTTAATCGAATGCAACAGACCGCACGTGCGCCGATTCGGTTCCACACCCGTAACCTCCATATCACGAAGCAGCGACACCACACCCGGCAAGTCATGACATCCTCGCCAATAAAAATAGATAAATTCATTATACAGAGCCGTGGACCCACCCAGAACAGCAGACGCCCTACCCATAGACTTAATCGTGGCACGGAACTGGCTGATGAGATGTGATTCGGGATAATGCAGATTGAGAAGCTTGAACGCGACGAGGAGCATCTTGGGATAGAGTTCCGTGACGACGGGTTCAGTGGGAACGACAAAGGGAATAGCGAGGAAACTCTCCGAAGTAGATTCATCCTTCACGCCCAAAA